TAAAAGTAAAAAAAGAAACAAGTTTTTATAACTTATAAATGAAGAAGAAAGTGAATAAGGAAAGTGAAAGTCAAAACTTTTGGGATTTCTTTTTCTTTCCTTCAACTTTTCTACTTTAAGAACTTGATGTTTTTTTAGGCTTGGCTGTGTTGTTGGGAACTTTTGCAAGGATTTTACTCACTAGTTAGGTTTGTGTTAGGACTTGGGCTTGTTTCAGAAATGCTTCTTTTTAGGAATCAGACCGTGGCGATTCTGGTGCTGTAAATGTTCTACTTTTTAAACATCTTGATAAATCATCCTATGAGCAAATGGCTAAGGATCTAAAAAACACCCTGCAGGATGTGAACAAAGTCAAGACAGACCAAGAATCATTCTGAAAGTGACAGCAACATGTACCTTTTGCAGGTCAAAGTTTTAGAAAAAAAGATGACAAACTTTGATAAATTAAAAAAGAAAAACATTATAAATGCCCAAGATGCCTAAATGCCAGGAAAATGAAAAAGTTAAAGCATTGTCTTTATTTTTTTTTTTAGTTTTCTTCATAAATTTTGACACAGTAGAATTAATGAATCTGTGATCAAGAAGCCTAATGCTTTAATTAGACTTTTTCTAGCTACTAGAAGCACATTATTACCCTTAGTATACAGTATATTTAAGAATAATAACATGAGCTGGAATCACAGGTCTAACTAAATAATAACTAATTGTAGGTTAACATGTTTCACAGTAGTGGGATGTGAGCTACTCAAGAATCCCAACAACTAAAAAACACACAAGTGGATTAAGAGCATAAAATGGAGAGAAAAAAGAGGCAGGAACCACAGGATTTCTTTTACTAAGAGAGGATCTATGCAGTTTACAGCATTTTGTTGTTGTTTTTCTGAATTCACCTCAACATAAAAAAACTTCTTGGAGAGCTGGAGTGTTTGATATGAGACATGGCTGCAGATTTTCAAAAATGCAGTATAAAAGCTTGTTTTCCTAAAGTACAAACGCAATGTTTTTACCAGCTTATGTATTTGAGGCTTGGGTATGTAATGGTGATTTAAAGTGGAAAGCTTGTAACATTTTCTGCCTGCACAACAATATATTGCCATTGACTGGTACTATTACGTTTAGATTATAAAATGAATCATCATCAATCATCACTTTATTTATATAGCACATTTAAAAACAACAGTGTTGACCAAAGTGCTTCGCAGACACAATACAATATGTTTATGTTTATGTTTGCAATACGAAAGTGAGGAAAGTAGCCAAATGAATGTAGGAATGCTGTAATTGAGGACAAATGCAAATTTTAAAACCAGAAAAAATATTGTGTTAGGAGTTTTTTGATCAACCTGCCCATTTCCTGTACAACTAATAAGAATCTTAGCAAATCTTTGTTTTTGTTACGATTCAGATTTAGTCAGATTTAGTCTGATTTGAKTTGTGTAAAAACAAGATTTTCCTAAGATGTAATGCTCATAAAAATACATTCATCCATCTGAACAAACTCTCACTTTTAATCATTTTTCGACTAAATTTGTAGTGCATTGATTATATTACTCGTACGAAAAAGTAAGTTATTTAGTGTTTGCTAGATTATTTCTTTGTTGTAACAATTCTTCTTGGTAACAAATCTTATATCAGGCATCTGATTGGCAGAACCTGGAGGTACCAGAAGCTCAAACCAAGAGTCAATAGCAACAGTAGAATAAGCTGTTTGGCAAYGACAGAGATTATTTGTCAACATCTTTATGTGCATAACCCACATATTCAGCTCTACTGCTCATCCCATAAATGCATGTTCCTTACAAATGTGACACCATTTAAAAGGAAAATTAACAGGCTTTCCAGCAGTACAAGATTTATTGCAAAGAAACATTGTTACGACAAATAAATAATCTACTAAACACAAATTGCTAAGTTTATGTGTCCACAGTTTCAATTCATTCATGCGAACATATTTGATTATTCTGTTTCCTGTCCTCTTCTAATAAATATCGAGGACATTTTTCACTGAGGTTATCCACCTAAAGGTATTTAAAATAGAATGATGTGTCTCAATAATAAGAGTATGCAACTTGATACATGTCTTCATTTCAAAATATCTGAACTACCCCCCACACAGACACACACACATAGGAGCATGATAAGTGTGTACGAGATCACTTTTAAAGCCATAGCTGCCCTGGAGACTGATTCAGAGGTTTTTAATAACAATTAGGACACACACACAAGAATCTGAATCCTCTTAAAAGCAAAAATTGTCATAAACATTGCATAACGGAACACGCAGTGTAAGCACCAGCTGAGCACAAAAACTCACACAGTACACAAACACACACAAATGCATTCATATGTATCAAATCCTACTGTGACAGCTGGATGRGATTTCTCACCTGCTTCATATAGAAACTGGTTGTGTGCTCAGTATTGATGACATTATCACGTAACCTTTTTAACTAAATGACCATAATGCACAGTGAATATTAGGAACACAGCTTTCCTTACAGAAAAAATAGRTCAAATCAACAGTAGGCAACACAATGTCAAACCTGTCAAATATAGTTTTCCTCATGTTTTACTGTCCAGAGCTTTTACCTAACATTTTAGCTGTTTCCAAATACTTCCACAGTTCCTTTACATCAACATCTTTACCAGTTTTTAATCTCGGATGATCTGTTTTGTGGAAAAAAGTACTGGCTGAGGAAAATCAGTTTGATATTTCTGGGAGTAAACCAAAAAGCAAAAAATGATTTTCTTCCACTCCTAATCCAATATTTTCTGAAATCCATCTTTGTTTTTCCTTCACTTACCTGTTTTTTTCTTCCTCTTTGGTCTGGATGCTTCTCCTCCCTCCTCGGCGTGGCTCTCCTGTGTCTGGTAGTCCTTTAGTCTTCAGCAGCGCTCTCCTCTGACTCTTTACCGCTCTCTATCTCTCTCTGTCTCATTCTGACGCTGCTGATCCTCAACATGCTCTCGCCGAGCTCACTGATCCACCCTCCCTCCCTCCCTTCCTCTCTCTCTCTCTCTCTCTCTCGCTCTCGCTCACTCTTCCTCCCTTTTTTGTCCCCCTGTTTCTGATCGATTTCTGTCTCTGTTACAACCTACTACAATTTTCTCATTAACTCCCCTGTCTTTAAAAACTGTCACTCATTTTCTCCCTTTTTGACACATTTTTCCACTTTGATTTTCTTATTTTGGTGGTTCATTCTGTGGTTTTAAGGTTCGGGTTTGTGTATTTCTTATTTTTCTTTTGACCCTAGCCCAGTGGTGGACCCAGTGAAACTTTGGCAGCAGAAAGTGTCTGTTCCCGGGAGTTTAGCCAGGACACAAACAAACAAACACTTGTGCACACTTGCAGAAACACACACGCACACACTCTTGCCCAAACCACTCACTTTATTTATATCTTGGCTTTTTCTTCTGCTTCATACTTSTGCTCACTTACTCTCTGATCGCTTCAGCTCACTTTTTTTGAGCCATGTGGTCACCACGTCCTTCCTTGCCCCACTTCATCCTCTTCCCTCAACTCTGTCCTCTTCTTTTATCTTTGTTTCACACACTCACCAAATCCTTTGTGTTTGGCTGTCCCTCCAGTTTTGTTTTTTCTCTCGTCTGTCTGAGCTCATTCGTTCATTCAAGCTGAGCACGATGTTGCTTTCTTGAGACAAACTAGACAATTAGACAAATTGAAAAGACCGTAAACGTAAACACCCTATTACATTAGGCTTTAATTATACTTAATGACTAATACTTTGTCTTCTCAGCATGGCAGAAATATCCTGATTGCTAATTGATCATTTGTCATGCATCACTGATTTGAAATTTGAAAAGACAAAAACATCTTTCTGTTTTTAGATGAAATTTGAGGCATGTTTGGGATAAACATGCGATTTAACAATCACGTTTTCTTTTGTTGCATGCATTTGACAGTTGTCTAAWTGAGTCAAACAAAGTCTTTGTTTGACTCATTTTAAGAAATTAAAATGAATTAAATGTTTGTTAAAAGTGCTGAAAATTGCTGTTTAAAGTTTAGCAACTGATGAATAAAAATGAAAAGAAATGGAACAGTTTGGATGTAATTTGGTACACATATAAACCAGTGATAGGTTTGTTAAGAGTTGACTTGTCTTGAACAGACACCAGAGGGCACAAGTGATGGTGTCATGAGTGTTTTTAGGCAGTTGCTGGAGTGTCCAGCAGTCARTCGAAACAATGGGTGTAGGTCATCAAACAGGGATGATACCTCATCAACATCTTAGGCAGCATTATCTCCATTTGACAGAGATCGAAAGACGTTGAATTGTGGGTTTACATGAGGCCAAGTGGTCAGATTGTACAATTTCCCAGTATGAGGTGAACAGATGCCACTCTGTGATTTCAACACACACTGTGAAATCAGTGGATACATGAGACCATGTTTATTWTATTTTACTTTTATTTAACCAGACAATTCCCAATTAGATCACAAATCTCTTTTACAAAGGAGGCCTGAGCTGGAAGACAACAACTTAATTAGCATTTTTTGGTGTGTGGGAGGAAAGTGGAGTACCCAGAGAAAACCCACACAAGAACAAAAAAAAACATGCTCGAACCAGGGATCACACCCATGACCTTCTTGYTRAAGCATCGGTGCTAACCACTGAGCTGTTGTGCTGCCCATGTAAAGGTTCATCATGTTATGCTCCAAGCATTACAAATCCCCAATGCCATCTGGACACAAATATTCTTTGCAACCTCATTATGTTTTGACAGCTGGCATCAGACTGAGTTCATCACCACATGGGAAGGCATGGACTGGCGARGAGTGAGGTAGTGGTACAGTTTCACTTCTGGATTACCATACATGATCGTCACGTAAAGTATATATGGCGACACAAAGCAAATAGGAACAATACTGTCAAGTGCTGTGTAAAGGCATATTGTGAGTCCTGGCATCATGGTGTGAGAAGTCATAGGGTATAAGTTCARGTCACCTCTATTAGAGATTCAGGGACTTTGACTGCACAGCACTCTGTTCGTAACATTCTGCGTCTGCATGTCTTACTCCTCCTGAGTCAGCACAGTCTTTTAACAAGACAATGCTTGTTCACACATGTTGTCTGTGGACTGCCTCAGATCCATTATTCTAACAKTTGCAGGATCAGCTTGGACATTAGCTTGAACCTGAGGATGAAACATCRGCTATCAAGGGGTATTTGCAGCCACTGTAGGCTGCAGAACAGGACAAACTAGCTGAACAGTCCTGTTCTACACCAAATTGCTGCTTGTATCCAGACCTAAGAGGATGTCACACCCGACAGACACGACTGCAACATCGACTCTGTCAACTATTTGATCTAACAATATAATCATTCYAGTACAGGCAAGTGATATTTCAACACATAGTTTTGTTGAATTATTATTATTATTAATGGAGTATTTTTTGCAATGAGTGCATTTAAGACAATCTAAGTGAGTTTTTTGTTTAGTTTTACTATTTACTTATTGTTTTCTTTTCTTTTCTTTTTTTGATGCAGCATCCTTGAAAAAATCCCTTATGACCTCCTCCCCCATCTGAGAATAAGCAGACATATGCATCGCCAACACAAAGTGCTTAACTCACCTTGTGCCGCGTTTCAATTGACCTCCAGTGAGATATGGAGAAAACAATGCCTATACTGTATTCGGTATGGCGCATGTGCACATACAGTACATAATACCCATGTGCTTCGCATCATACAAGGTTTGATG